CAGGCCGGGCTCAGCTCCCGGCTGGAGGGCCCGGCGCTGGCCTGCCTCACCGCCCGCAGCCGCGCTGCGCAGGGGTACGCGCTGTAGTAACAGGATTAGTAGAAAAAATTACACCCCCTGACCGCAGTGAAACGCAGACCGGAGACAAAATCACCGCAGCAAAACTGTCAAAAATAACGCGAAGTCTACCATTTCAGACGGAGGTAAATATTTAAGTATAGCCCGCTGCCAGGGAAGAGGATGGGATTTTCTCCACTGACCTCCGTGGCAGTAGGGTTGAGTGCAAAAAAGTTGGGCCATATGTTTTTCACAGATATCTTATTTTCTACAAAAAAATAAATTCTTTTCTTTACATGACAAATTATTTTCTTGCAACTTATTTGCAAGTATCAAACAGCAGCAACGAAGTCCTTCAAAATGACAGCCAAAAGCCAGTCTCAATGATATTTATTTAGGGATGTTCATGACGATAACAATAAACAAACGAGAGTTCTTTCCAAGTAATTCAGGCTTGTTCACAGTTTGTGTATAGTTTGGTCTAATTCATTTTGCAGATTTTTTGTGATGTAAAGCAACACGACTAGCACAAATAGTTACCAGTCCACAGTTTTCCATCCCTGCTCTGCTTAAAAAAGGTAGGAAGATAATGCATATGAAATAAAACTGTCTTGCAAACAAACATTTGTTGCAAGCCCTAGAATTGGTGAGCTACCATGCAAGCAAGGGGTTCTCAGCTGCTGCCACCCTGTCCTTCCAGAGGCACGGCAGGAGCCTGGCCTGAGCACTAATAGAGCCCATGACCCCACTGCAGCTCTCCCAACACACCCCTGCAAAAACAGCTGCAGGTAGAACCCACTAATTTTTATGCCTTTGCTTCAGAGTTCTACCCATCCAGGGGACAAACACTGGAATTCCATCTTGTGCAGGTACAACTGACACAGGTACAGTTAGAAGGAAGTACAAGCAAGAAGGAATCCACCTAAGAAAGCAGCACCCACTCACTGCCACAGTGAGGAATGCACACTGCTAGAAGGTGCTGCGATTTCCCTGCTTCATCAAACTGGGGAACAACGAGGCCCAGAGGATGTAGAAGCGCAGAGTATGCTGATGAATGAAAGCACACTGTTCTTACATGCACAACAACTGATGACAAATAATCATCGCAAAGGTTTTTCATGTATCAACGCAAGCATTGGATTATGCTTTTCTGGCAAGAAATGTAAACTTACTGACTATACTCTACATTGTCTTTACAAGTAGCCAAGAAAGTGTTATTCCAGAATTCATAGTTAGACTTGGTAATATTTTGCAAGGAACGGTCTGCTGGCAGACTCTGAGGATGTACAGTCTGTACAGTGTCTCGGTCTGTGGTTTGACTCTAGCTCTTAGCCAGAATATTCCACTGTCAATCAATCCTAAACAGAAAAAGACACTCCTCTGGCTATTAAATAAAAACAAGAACATGTATGAATTAAAAAGTTCAGATTAAAAACCGGAAAAAATGTATAAAATCCTCAAGTTAATCAAGAAATAAATTACTGGAGAAAAAGTGTAAATAATAAACATTTTTTTTCCCCAAATACAAGCCCTAAAACTAGAACAGAAAAGAGCAAAAATTGCAAGCATGTTTTGACCAAAATTCCAGTAAAAATATTTTTTTTTTGGGAGGGTGGGGAGAAAAAATTAAAATCAACTAATGCCCTCCCCTTTTGCCCTGATCCCTCAGCTTCTCCTGCAAGAGAGTTAAGTGTTCCATGTTCAAGAAGAGTCTAATGACACTACATGGATTCAGCCTGTCTGCAGTGCATTTAATTGCTGTTTAATTCCCATTTATCACTAATAGATGAGACTCTGAGCACATGGGGCCCCCCAAAAATCTGTATTTGCTTCTAATGTTTTTTTTTAAGTCTTTAATAGACTATGCATAGAGTGTCAAGCAGATCTAAAAGATGCAACTAGAAAATACTACATTAAGCTTTTGTATCAACCCCCATTTGGTAATGGTTTGTAATATGTGCTGTTTGAAACACTGGTACAAACTCAGCAAAAGATGATGTAAGATTAAATAAAGAGGGTCAGAAGTTTGGGGAGAAGCACTGAACAGTAGCAGAGGAGCACAGCAGCTGTTACACAGCACGCAGCAACACCACAGAATAGTTTATGACAGGAAGTGAAGAAAATTCCACAATCCACCTGAAGCTACAGTGGGAATTATGTAGGCAAAATATAGTTATTAAAATTGGAATGCAACCAAGACTTCAGGGGCTAATAATGCTTTTCTTGCAAGAGATAGCAAAAAAATCCCCAAGCATCTTCATTGACCACAAACTGCAAGACCACAGCTTTACATCTCAATTGAAAGACACGGCTTTTTCCATGATAAATTGTCACAAGAACGTGATCTTTCTGGGATGTGATTTCCTGGCCAGCAGGCTCCATTTCCTTCCAAAAACTGCAAAAAGAGTTAGTGATTTTGGGATTTAAAAAAAAAAAAAAAAAGCAATCCGTCTAATATACATCTCTCTATAAATATACATTCCTTTATATATGTATATACACACCAACATTTATATAGAACATGTATATAAAAAAATCCCCTTTAAAGCTATTGCCAGTGTTTAAAAAATAATTGGCCAGTTTCAATGGTCTCAATGAAATGCAATTTGGCAGTCACAATATGAATGTATTTACTATATATCATGTCCATTAAATTTCTTTATGCTAAAATATTATTATTTCTTACCTAGAAATTGACTTAGATTTTACAGCCCAAATATTCACTTCAACTTAAAAGGACTTAAAGGACCTCACGGAAAAATTTAAATACACAGTGTGTGTAGTGTGTTTTATGTCTGCATCTATAAAACACATACATGTCATGCACAAATATTTAAGTATATAAACGTGCCAATTCTGAAAGTACACATGCATTAGGACCATAAATACTCCCAGAAGTGGAACACACACATTTATGCAATGTGTATTTGTTTATACAAATATGACTAGAGTACATAAATGTAGATAAGCCTCATGTGTATTATACATTGAAGGCGCTTTACTGTGATATAAAGGATTCTTTTATGATGAAATTTGAGATGTACATGTTTCAAGGAAAACTACGTAGAAAATAACTCTAGCTCATCTCAGCACCGAACAGATAATGGGTGCTATTCCAATTTGTCAAATCCCTTTTACAGCCACTGTCCTAGAGAAAAATAATTTTTTGCAGATGTTTATTTAAAACCAAACTTGTTCTTGTATTTTGCTTCATTGAAAGATACCAATCTCTTGCAGAGACATAAAGCAGCTGTAAAGCAGCATTGACTGCTGTAACACCTTACCGCATGAAGAAGTAACATGCAATGGTAGGCACATAAAATGGCAATTCTTCTGAATGCATCCTGGTACCAATAAAACTGGGTGGCTTAGAAACTTCAGTAAAATTGTAATCATAGTAAGACCTGCTAGAGCAGCAGAAAGAATTTATTTTTCTTTTCTTCAAATCAAGCATAGTAAATGCTGAATATGTTAGAAAATAATTATACATGTATATAAAAACCTGAACTATCATATAGTCTTTCATTACTTGAAAATATTAATTTTCCTAGCTTTATTTAGATTCACTCCTAATGCAATTAATGCTGGACATATAGATGAAACATTTAAGACTTTGACTTTGCAACCTTAGTGGTTTTCTTTTATCATCAAGGGGAATTTTTGAGATACACACTGCGCAAATAGGTAAATATTGTGACTCCTTCGCTGTATCCTTCCTCCTAATAAATTCCTTGCCTTAAAATTTTCTTTTGACTATCACACTAAGTGCAGAGCCTGGAGCATGATTTAGAAGTACACACAAATGGAGTTACTCGAGTCTCTAACAGGTTCCAGTATCCCCAGTTCTTGGCTGTGTCAGATCGGCCAGGTACACACACACACACACACACACACACACACCTGTAAACACACGCTGTGCCTTCCTACTGCACAGCACTTTCAGGCTGGCCAGGTGGGAGCCAGATTCTGCCAGGTAGTTATGTGACCACAGTAGCTTGTTACAGCTTAGGCTGGGGGTCCTAGCGCTTACACCATCCACACCGCTTATCTCATCCTGAGAACTGCTACCAGAAGGTGCAATTACAGGCTTGTCCACAGATGTACAAGAGAGTTTTAGCCACAGGGAGTCTCTGTGGGACTCCACCCTCTAAATACAATTACTGAATTTGTCTCACAAATGCACTATTAGGTGCACTCTTGAAATCTGGATGTTATGACTGTGGATATATGCTCAGAGTTTTGGAAGTGTGCCCATTACGCTGACTGCCCAGGGTAGCGTCACACACTGCCCTTGTGCCCCAACTGTGACAATGCTTTTGGTTGTCTTTTTTAAGATAATAATTTGTCTGTTGCAGAAAGAGACATAAATAAGTAGAGTTGTGTTTCACTCCCCAAAGTATTTGTACTTCCACTCTGCTGGAAATTTAACAAGCATTATTTGTAACTATGAATCAGGAACATAAACATTTACATGACCTTGGCATTCACATCACAATTATCTATAAATTCTGACTCAACTCATGATTATTTATCATCTTTTTGAAGTGTAAGCATATAGAGGCTTTCACAAGGCTAACCAGAAAACCGTCCACAACTTAAAATTGCCCTAAGCAATATTTGCAATACAGAAGATCTGATCCTCTGATCCGAAGGACAGCTATTCCCAAAATAATCTAATGGAAATACATAGGAGAGCAGACTCAAATGAACATTATTCACACAAGGATAGAGTTTGAGATTGGGCCCTAGTTTGTCATTTATTTCTTTAGACTGCGAATCACAAAACACTTCATTCCTTTGTTATTATTGAGCTTTATAGCCTTTCAAGTCCTCAGCTGTCCTGTTTTTG